GATTAAACGGCCCAGGGTGAAAGGAAAGTTCTCTCCAGTTGATCACTGGGAGAACAATATACACCTTTTCAGCATAGAGAAAAAAAAAGGAGGTGTTTGCATTTCGGGCATCTTGGAATTTTTCATAGAGTATCTATAGCTTTAATGACGTCATTGGGTACAGCGACGTTTTTATCCTGTCGATTTTCTTGGTAATGGTGTAATTTAAGGGAAAAAGTCATTCTATAAAAAGTGCTTGAAATTAAATAAAGAGTTGATTTAAGTAAAAAAATCGGACATTATGGTCCGTTTTTACAGCGTCAACATAACCCTCAACGAGCGTCTTGTTTACATTGATGACGTAGGTGGGTACAAATCCTCAAGATGCAAACACCTCCTTTTTTTTCTCTATGCCTTTTCAGGGACGAGTTCTATAGAACTGGTCCCTGCCTTTTCGCAGGTGTACTTTACGGATAGAACCGAACCTATCCGGAGATAACCGAAGCTGCCCGAACGCAAAGGTACACGATGGTGACGTCATTTACCGATGGAGCCCGAATGTGACGCACGAAAAGCAGCTGAGTTACACCAAAATAGGCGGCAAATTACAAAAACACAGAAATCAATTCGGTAGCGAAGAAATTAAGAATCAGTCCCAAGCAGTATTAAAGAGTCCTTTTCTTTAATAAACTCTGTCAAGTCATTTAAACCATTTAAGCCGTAGAATCCGAATAATTTTTAACCGGTAGTTTTATATTACTCACCTCTAGTTTTATTTAAGCTTCAGCTGAATTGCTGTTCCTGTGAGAGGAGGATTAGATAAATTTTTTACTTAAATCTTCCAGGAAACTGAAGTTAAAATAGTGTAGATAGTAAGACTCTCTTGCAATATTGTGGAAGCGATTAGGTAGGTACCTACCTACTTGCTAGGTAACTTAAAATTCTACGGAGAATTCCATAGCAAAGAATGTACCTAGGTATCATTACTTGGATCATTGTGCTGAAAAGTTGTTTTAAATTGCTATATTGCTTCCTCAGTCAAAATTAAAATTGCAATTACACTACAGGAGATCATATCTTTGCCCTATGTAGGAATATGGCTGTTCGATACTGGATTAAGAAAGTGTCCAGAGATGGGATTTTCTCCCATTATTGCTTTAAAATATTAAATTTCTGATAGTCATGCAGCCAAAATAAAAAACGAAGTATTTGATAAAATGAAGGAGACACAAAGAGGATTCTTTCATGCAGCTATACATCAGAAATTCCCCCCAAGCTCTTAATGTATCATTTTGTGAGCTAAGAGTATTTCCTGTCTGCCACAGATTTTATTTTTGAAGGGAGCTCAATTCAAAGCGGCACATTAAGTATCATCCTGTGGATGAACCTACTGATTAATTTATGGACAATTTTAAATTGAAAAAAAAAAGATAATATTTTCGAAAATCTTAATTATATTAATAGTCTCTATATTAATATTAATTTTAGTTTTTTTTCTTTAAATATCAGTTTTCAATGCCCAATTGCGAAATGGGAAGATGACTTAATTTAGAAGTCATACAGAGGATATACTGTATTTACTTTTCTTAAACTTGAAAAATGTCTTTTGAAGAGAGCCATTAACATGAGGAATTATTTTGAAACACTTCAAAATGTTTCACATTTGACAGCAAATATATTGGTGTGTTTGCCGAAGGAAATTCACTATTTTAGGGGGAAAAAAGGCTTCATAAAGTGCCTTGATTTGAAGCCTTCTCGAAAGTTCCTTTTGCTCACTGAAATATTTTTGAAAATGGTGATATCAAGAAACATCTTGGAAGTTTGAACTTCGTTCTCAACAAAAATCTTCAAGTGAAATTGAGTCCTGATATAGTCTTGTCATTCAGGAAAATCATATGTAGACGGGAGGTAAAAGAGAAAAGCAAAGGATTTGTCTTAAACACTTTTTATATTCTGTTTTTCTTTTTTATAAAAAAATTCATGAAGACAATATAGATACAAAAATAAAAGAAACAAAATTAACAATAGAAAATCAATGTGTATGCTTGCTTTTAGAATAGGTAACTAGCATTAGAGGGTTGAATGCGACAGCTATTGGTTTGTCAAAAACATCTTGCACCAAAGGTCTGCATGAACCTGCAACATAAAGAAAACGTTCATTTAGCGCATTCTTCAAGACTTCAAGATGGGTAACTAAGGCTACACACACGAAAAAAAAAATTCAAACAAAGCATACTTGACTTAAAAGGATGGGGAAAAAACCCAATAGTCAATGAAAAAAGGTCAAAATTGATGGCATGCAAGACACACAGGGTGTGAAGGTTTGGCAAGGCAATCTCAATTGCATTGTCTAAAAATTGTGCAATCATACTAATTTTCTGCGAGGAGCAACCAAAACCTCCAGCTGTTTTTAACATTCTTCCAAATTTTCTTGCTTGATAACAGAAAATTCACAAGAAAACAAGAACGAGGAGGCTTCCTCGTTCTATCATTGTTAAAATTATCATGATCGCACAATCTTCAGACAAGGTAATGGAGATTGCCGGTTTACTTAGGTTCTAAACGCCTCATTTAACATTGCCTTGTATTTTTACTTTTTCAACAGAGAACTTACTACTTAACACCTTTGAGCTTTCTATTCCTTTACCCTTGATTATGAAGACTATACTGTAAAAATGTCCAGTCTCAGTGTTGCTTAGTTTTCTGTTTGAATATAATAAACTAGAGAAAACTACACGTAACAATCCTGAAAGGAAATCATACTAGAATCAGCTTGGAATCATGGGAAATGCAGTCATAAAATACATTTGTAAAGGATTGCTCTTTTGAACACTAAATAGAAGTAGAATATGGACTTGAAATGTAGGAGAAGCCATGAGCATTCTAACGTAGATGTGGAGCTAATGCTATGTCTTCGTGGACACTATGCGATTGGCCCTATCATTAGAAGAGATTTTTTTGTCTGCCTTCTCTTTCCAGCTAGCAAAAATACAAGAAATCTCCTTGATTACCTCTAGGATTTCCAGACAACATTTCCACTGGATTTAGCATATGAAAAAGCAGACTTATTCTCTTTTCAGCTCCACTTTTGCCGACGGCTCAATAAAGGATAAATCTTGTAGGGCCCATAACTTTTCATCCATGTTGATATCTATTGGCTCGACAACTTTTACAGATCACTGATAAGCCCTGCATTCAGCTCCTTACCAGATTATTTTGGGGTTCCTAGGGTGACTTACGAGTGAGGTCGAGCCAGTCTCAGATTTCTTTATCCTCTTTTGATGTAAACAGAGGATAGGAAATAGCAAATGTGTTACCACGTTATGATTGTATGCCGAGCATGTTTATTTTACACATGAAAATCACTTCTACATTCCCAGGAGTAAGTCCAAGGAAAACAGAAGTATTCTCTTGCATACCCTCTAAATAAAAAGCTAAAAGTGAGTAGGAAAATTGACTTAGGTACTACCTACCTCCAGGAGTTTTCAAGTCCAAAACGGTATCGAAAAATTGACTTTTGACAGCACATAAGCACAACACAAAACTAACCTCACAAAGTCACAAAAGGTACACTTGACGGCAGCGCATCCTACGGCAAGAATCTGCAACAGTCCAAAAGTAGGTACAAGCGGGATCGTTATTCCTGCGAAAAATAGTTTTCCGTAACCCGCCGTACATGA